GCCATCTCACCTGGATCACCAGCCATCCCATATGGATCACCAGCCATCCCATATGGATCACCAGCCATCCCATCCCATCCCATCCCATCCCATCTCAGATCACCAGCCACTCCACCTGGATCACCAGCCATCCCATCCCATCTCAGATCACCAGCCATCCCATATGGATCACCAGCCATCCCACCCCATCTCAGATCATCAGCCATCCCATATGGATTACCAGCCATCCCATCCCATCTCAGATCACCAGCCATCCCACTGCAGGACAGGTGGACAGGGCCAGGTCCCTGCCCACAGCTCCCTCCTCATCCTCTCCTTCAGCCTGGAAAAACACAGCGAGCAGAGCCGAGGAGTGGCCAGAACTGCCCCAGCTGTGCACAGACCCGTTCCCTCTCCTCCCTGGCAAGAACCACTGGGTCAGTTCGCTTTGTGGCCAGCACAGTCTGCAAATGGGATAATGGGATTGTCCCGGGGCCGTCCCGGGCAGGAAGGGGTGTGTCTGTCCTGGATTACCCTGCTGGAACCTCCTTCATGCCCAGACAAGGCCAGAGTTACTCAGAATTCCTCTTCCAGAACACAAGCTGGAAGTGGTGGGAACACACACACACTCTGGGAGTTTCCTGGGCTACAACCACCACCACCACCAGCGCGACATGCTCGTGGGAGCAATTTTGTGCAGTTTTTTTTTTGAGATTTCAGTTTTAGATTTAAAAAAAAAAAAAAAGAGTTTATTTCTAACCCCTACATCCTCACCACGGGATGCCTGAGCAGTGATGTGGAATCAGACGGGGGGGGGGCCACTGCTCTGCCACGAACTGAAGATGAGCAAATCCCAGACCAGGTGATGCTGCAGCTCCCGCTCCAGAGGTGGCTGCGCTCGCTGGGCTGGGAAGGGAACGCTCCTGCTCCCACAGGATTTAGTCTGCAACTCGCTTTTCCTTACCATCACCAAATAAATCACAGAATCATGGAACATCCTGAGCTGGAGGGACCATCACGTCCAACTCCTGGCCCTGCACAGACACCCCAGCGATCCCACCCCGTGCCTCTGTCCCAACGCTCCTTGAGCTCCGGCAGGTTCGGGCGGCACCTGCTCCTTGGGAAGATCTCCCAGACAATTATTTCTGCTCCCCCCACCACGTGCTGGGTTCCTGGGGGGGGGGGAAAGGGAAGGGGAAGCAGTAGTACAGCCAAGGGAGAGGAAAGAAGGGCTGAGGACCCCGTGCACCACACAGCCGTCCCACCGCTGTGGGAATATTGCTTCAGCTTTAAAAGGCCTTTGGATTCAAAGTGAATTCAGTGCTTTTCCATCAGAAACACACACAGCTCCTGTTCCCTGCCCAGGATGCAGCGAGGCCCCTGCCTGCCCGGGTAGGGACAGGGTGGGACCGGACAGCCCTGGTGTGCTGAGCGCTCCGAGCGTCCTCAGCTCCCGCGGGAACGGCCCTGACTGCTTCAGTTTGCATTGCCCAGGTGAAGGAATCCACGGACACACAGCGAGGACGAGCATCCCCAGCTGTGCCTGGCCCTGGCAGGTACAAGGGCAGGGGCAGCCCCGTCCCCAGCCCAGCCCTCCCCTCAGCTGAGCCCCATCCGAGCTGAGCTCAGCCTGGTTTGGTACTTCAGACACAAAGGGCTGCCCAGCAGGGCCCAGCCAGACACTCATTGCCTTTCCCTGCACTGAGTAAATGCAGGATCTTGGATAGAAACTGGAGAGGGCTGAGCGTGGCGGGGGTTGGAGGAGCACAAAACACTTCCCAGAACACGGCAGGTCCGAGGGTGACGCTTCGTGCCCCTCACCTGCCCCCGTGTCCCAACAGCTGCTGGCCCTGGGCTGCAGGACAGCCCCTCCCAGCTCCCTGGGAATGTCCAGGAGAGCAGATTCCTGCCTGGTCCTGACAGTCCAAGCACAGCTGCGTGAGCTCTGCCCTCCCTGGTTCAGGGGGCACTGACAATCCCAGTTCCTGAGCTGTTCCAGTGACTCTGGACCCCACAGCCAGGACAGTTCCTTCTTTCTGTTTCCCCAGCCACACACCCAGACACCACCTCCCTTAAACGTGGTGGCTGGGAGTGCCTCCTGGGAGAGGGGAGGATCTGCAGATCAGGAACACCAGCCCATATTGCACAGCCCAGGAGCCTCCTGGGAACAGCCCAGGTCACGGCAGGAAGGCAGCGGCTGGAAAGGCCGGCACGACATTGGCGGCGCCTTCCAGTTCCCAAAGATTTGAACCAGAGAGCAGCCGAGGGAGCCCGCTCAGGGCTCTGTCCCCGCTCAGCACACACAGATGGGTTTGGATTATCCCGTTCTCCCCTCTGCCAGGAGAAGACCAACCACAGGCTACGGGTTGGAGGCCCCGTGTGGAGCAGAGCTCAGCAAACACGCTCAGAGCAGGCTGGGGTTACTGAAACTGCAGCACAAGTCAAACACTGTATCTCCTAAAAGATTGAAAAAATATCTTTAAACAAAATAACGTGACATATTTACATAATTCCTTAAGTGCAAACTCTTGTCACAATTCACGCAGTCGAGCGCGGTTTCGACTCCCTGTACAAGAAGGTGCTCTTTCGTTAATGAAAGAAGGACTCTACTCTGTTTTCCTGATTCAGTAACGTGTCTCTTGTGCAAGGCAGTAAAATTCCTGTTTCTTCCCAACATACTTCCGAAAGCAAACCCTAAACCCAGCCGTCCTCGTGCCCGCGCCCCGTCCCGGTTACCGCACGACGAGGCAGGAGACGCAGAGCTTCGAGGGGCCGATGCAGTCATCGTGGCAGAAGGCCCCGCAGCCCTTGCACATGATCATGGCTTTCAACCTGCAGTAACATTTGGAAGGGGAGTCCTCCATGCCGCCGTCCTCGGTGAAGGCCTGCACCGGGAGGCTCTGCCCGTGCCCGCCAGAGTTCACGGCCTGGCCGGCGGGAATGGTGGTGACGGTGACGGAGAAGGACATGACGTTGCCCATGGAACTGGCCAGCTGGTTGCACTCAGACAGCCCCGAGATGAGGGAGCCCTGGCTCACGTCGGGCGAGGTGGAGACGTTTATTGTGCCGCTGTAGCTGGACCCCAGGAGCTGCGCCCCGGCGTTCCCGGGCAGCTTCGGGGGGTGCGGAGCCGGGAGCAGCGGAGGCTGCGCCGAGTCCGGGGACGGGGCAGGAGGCCCGAAATGCTCCGGGCTGCCGTGCATCCTCCCCCTCATGGCGTGCGCCATCTGCTCCTGCGCCGCCTGGATCAGGTCCCGGGCCAGCGCGGTGCCGTCCAGCGCCGGAGCGCTCTCCTTGGTGCCGGCTGCCGGCGGGGCCGGGGCCGCCTCGGCCTTCCCAGCCCTCGTCCCCAGGGAGCTGGGATGAGCGGGGCTGGTGCTGTGAGACCCCTGCTCTCTCTCACACTGACCAGAGGCCTGAGGCTCCTCTTTGACGCCCACGCGCTCCCGTTCATCCCCGGTGCTCTCGTCATCCGCGTCCTCCTCCTCGCTGCTGCTGCCGCCCTGGCCGGCCGCCTCCTCGCACTCCCCAAACTCTGCCCTGGCACCTTCCGCAGGACTGCTCAGCCCCAGGCGGAGCTCGGGGTTCAAGGAGAAGCCTCTCCTCAAACTCTCCGAGCCACGGCCGTAGGTGGAGATGTTGAGCAGGTAATGACCGGACATGGCAGGCCTGGACGTCCTCCTGCCCGTGAAGCCCAGCATGAATCTCTGGCTGGTGGAGCTGTTTTCCACCGGGAAACCTGAGTGGGGGAGGTTCAGCTGCGAGGGCTGAAGGACGGGCAGCAAGTTCTGCCTCTGCACCCTCTTGATGAGGGTCTGAAGGATCTGCTCCTGGGTGGCCTTGCTCAGCGCCTCGTGGCACTGGTGCTGCTCATGGCCGGGGTCCTTTCCCGAGGGGAGCGGGAAGGTCCTTGGAATGTGAGGCAGAGGCCTGTTCTGGCAGAAGATCTTCCCGAGCTGCTGTGAGGGTAACCCCGCCGGTCTGTCCCCCGCCTCGGCCCCAGCGCCGTTCCCCGCTGCGCCGGGAGCGCCGGGAGCCGCCGCCCCTTGCTCTTCCCGGGGAGCCAAGGGCACCGTTCTCATCTCCGCTTTGGTGAGCGGCTTCGGCAGGATCTGCTCCAGGGGCACGTTCTTGCCTTGGAGCAGCTGGGTGACCAAAGGGTTGTTGGCAGGAATGCTGGAGCTGGGTTTGGGCGGGGTTTTAAGGCTGGGTGCTGCTGAGGAAGCGCTGCAGGGTGGGACGGGGGCAGGAGCGCCCACAGCTCCAGCCTGGGCCTCGGGGCCTGCGGATGGAAGCGAGGACGCCGGGGGGGAAGGGGATTCGCTTTTGGAAGCGTCAGAGCCGGTCCCTCCCGAGGCCGGAGGTGCTCCTGCGGTTCCGGTGGTGCCGGTGCCACAGCCGGGCCCGTCCCCGCCCGCCGGAGCCCCGCGGGCCGCGGCACAAGGGGCCGTCCCCGCTCCGTCCCCGCTCCCGGCGCGCGGGGATTCCGTCCCCGGGGTCCCCGTCACCCGCGGGGGGCTCGGCTTGGCCCCCACGTGCCCTAGTGCTGCGGGGCAGGGGCCGGGGGCTCTGGGCTGGCTGGGGACCCTTGGCTGTAGTTGTGCTCCAGAAGGATCGCCAGGAGCTCCCTGCTCCGCGGCCTGGGCGTTCTCCATTTGGGAACGGGGCCCTGGGCAGTGGGGAAGAAACCTTCTCGAACCTCCCCCGCTTCCAGTTCCTGCCAGTTCCAGTGCGTGTCCCGCTGCCGTTCCAGTTTGGGTGGTGCCGCTACTCGGGCGTGTCCCCCCGCCCGGGCCGGGCCCCGGCACAGCCCCCCCGGCCGAGGCGGCGGCGGCGGCGCTGGCGGCGGCAGCGGCGGCCGCTGCCCTCTGAGCCTTGGCCTGCTGGGCCCTTGCCTTGATGTCGGCCAAGGTCCTGGCCCCTGTCCTGCCCGGACTGGTGAGGGAGAAGGGGAAACGTGCCCTGGGAGAGACCTGGCCCGCAGGAAATGGCATCGGGGAGATTCTGGAGACGGGAATCTGGAACAGAGCAGAGCAGAGCACAGCTGAGACACGGGGAACCCACCAGCTGAGAACTTCGGGGCTGGCACTTCAGTCTTAGGGGACTAGTTGGGAGTTTTGGGGAAACCCCTTTGGAGAAATCCCCCCTCTCCAAATGAGTAACAGGAGAAGTGTAGGACCCCTGGATCTCACACCCAGTTTAAGTGCAGTGCAATCCCAGTGGCTCAGAGTGGAGCTCGGCCCTCACAGTCACAGCGAGAACCACTGGACACCATCACTCAGAGCCCACCCAGCTCCTCCCTGCGGGGTTGTTCCAGACCCCAACATCTGTCAGCTCTTCCTCTGTTCTGCACTTCATTCAGATGGAATTTCTGCCCTCGGGAAGGTTGGTGTCACCATCCTGCTCTTCCCTCTGCTCATACACCACTCATCTCCTCAGTGTCTTTGTACAAAGCCATAATAATCCCTCCATCTGGAGATTAAATGCCAATATTTCAGTCCTTTCCTCCAAAATATTCCCCTCAGTGTCCCAGTTGACTTTCTCTCCGTTTACTCTTTCCACCCTGCCCTGCCCTCGGTGCTCCCCTGTCCCCCCTGCAGGGACCTCAGGGAGTTTATGTGAGGTTACATTTGTTTTCCCGTATCCACAGAACCTCCCTGAGTCCCACTGAGCTCTGATCAGCCACTTCACCACTCCTCTCTCCGTTCTGGGAATGGCACATCTCGGGGACACGTCTGTCCCCCTGGTCCCCTGCTTTTGCAGTCACCATTCGCAGTCACCTTCAACCCACCCTGTTAAAGTCAATCCCTTTCCTTCCCTGGCAGGCCAACCATCCTTCCTGGATGGTATTCCAGGTCTCCTTTATGGACCCCCAGCTCTGTGTCCCTAATAGTTTCACTGATGCCTTCCTGCCTTGGGGCTGTGCTTGGTAACATGGTGAGAATAACAAACTGCTTTTAAAATGTTCAGTTTGCAGCCCTCTAGTACCTAAAGGATACTGATATAGGGGAGTAGAATTCCCAGGACACACAGAAATGCAGGAATTGAGCGGTTTCCCATTTACAGCTTCTGCCTGAGGCCCCAAACCAGCAGGTTCAGCAGCAGGTGCCTGATCCTAGGACCTGGCTCCCAAACCCGAGGGGTTGCACTGTCCAGGCAAAGCCTGGAATGTTTCTGTCCTGCCCGTCCCAGCAGTGACCAATTGCCCATTTCCTTTCCCAGGTGGGTTCTTGGGAAGACTGGGCAGCTCAAGGGCCTCTGGAACTGAGGTGTTCCCCAAAATGCTCTTTCCCTGCTCCCCAGCTGGTGCTGCTGCCCTGGGCTGCTGCCAACAACTGCAGTGGTGCCACATGGCCTGTTTCAGACACGGGGATATCTGAGTGCCTGCACTGGCTCTCAGGCAGCCGTGGATGGCATTCCTTCTGGAGCTGGGCCTCCCACACCTGCACGGCTCTCTGCACTCCTGCTCTGTTATTACAGCCTGGCAGTCCCTCTGCAGCTCACCCGGCTTCCAGCCTGCTACCTGCGACAGTGGGAGGTGTCCCTGCCTATGGCAAGGGGTGGAATGAGACGAGCTTTAAGGTCCCTTCCCACCCAAACCCTTCTGGGATTCCAAGATTCCACGAGAGCCGCCAGCTGGACCCCTGTGCGAGGCCAGGCCGTGGCTCTGCCCCCGCTGCCTTTACCTTGAGGGGGGGCACTCGTGGCACGGGGGGCCCGGCAGGAAAGGGCTGGGGCTGGCTCCGAAATGCCTGGTGGTGCTGACAGGGCTCCACCACCCGGGGCTTCTTCTCAGGAGTGGCTGGAGCTTCCTCACGGCTCTCCGACTTCCTCTTGTGGGCCTCCACGCTGACCTCCATGTCCTCCCCCACGGGGGGCTTCTCCGGTGGGGCCGGAGCCACCGCCAGGCTCTGCCCCTTCGCTGCTGCCTCCCCTGCCTCGGGGCTCTTTGGTTTGCTGGGGGCACCCACAGTCTCCTTCCCTGGCACCTCCTTGGCTGCGCTGTGCTTCCTCTCTTCCTCTGGCTTCTGCCTGGCGGCAGTTTGGGGTTTCTCCTGGCTGGATTCTCCTTGGACTCTCTCCCTGCCAGGGAGGGAACGGTCGCTGGGCTTCGCCGCCCGCCTGTCTGGGGAAGCCGAGGCCTCGGGGGGCTTGGCTGGCTTTGGTGCGTCCTCTCTTCCTTCCTCTCCCCCTTTTTTCACTGCTGGTGCTTCCTGGGCTGCCTGTGCTTTGGGCTCGGGGGCAGAGGTGCCGTGGTCCCGGCGCGGGGCTGCCGGGGCGCTGCGGGGCTGGGCGGGCTCCGCCTCGGGATGCGCCGTCAGCAGCTCCGACTCCTCGGGGCTCAGCCCAGAGCTGGCAAGAAAACAAGAGGCAGAGTTTGTGAAACACCTGTGCAAAAACCCATGCAGCCCTTGGAGAAACAAGAGGCAGGATTCCCTGCATCCCACACCGCAAATGAATGTCTCACACACCTCTGGGAACCCTCTGTGCTGTTACTTCTCACATGGAAAACAGAAATCAGCATCAAAATTTAAAACCACCTCAATGCAATACAGGGGATAACAGGAAGCTCCAGGCCTCTGTCCAGACACTAATTTTCCAAGCCCTAATTACCCTATGGTAAGAGAAACCTGGAAACCTCTCCATGGCCCCAGAGGGTGGGAAAATCTTAAACCAAGAGGAGACACAGAATAAAAGATGGGCAGATTTGGGAGTCTGACCAAGTACTGTGGGATCGAGGATGTGGGGAGCACACCAGAGCTGGGACATGCTCAGCCACCACAGCATCAGAGCCCCAACACCAGGGGAACCGTGGGAGAGGCTCAAAGTATCACGGCCAGGAATGGGAAAAGGTTGAAGTCCAAGGACATCCTGCCTAAGGAGAACAGAGCTGCCCAGGTCAAACGTGAGGCACTGGGGCAGCAAACCCCTTGTGCCTGACCCGGATCCCTCTGGCACTTCCAGCTCCCTGGCAGGCAGGTGAAGCCAGACCTCCTTCAGGTTTCAGGGCTAACGTGAAGCAGAGTTTATTGATGGCCAAACACACAGCAGGTACCCCTGGCCAGGCAGGGAAAGGGGGCACAGGCTGAGCTCTCACCTCTGGCCGTAGTAGCTCTCAAAGAAGTGTTCCTTCCACAGCTCCACCTTCTTTTCCTTTTCGATTTCCTGCCGGATTCGGAGCTGCATCTCCGGGGTAAACTCTCCTGCAGGTGCAAAAGGGACGTTGTCAGAGCCAGGGAAGGGGTGGATGGGTCGGGCACTCCCCAGAGCCCTCACACTGCCAGGACAGCCCTGGGGGCACCTCAGCCCCTTCCTGAGCCCCAGGGGCTCCTCTGGACACACTGCTGTCACAGGCGGGGAAACAAACCCCCCTCACACACCCCCGAGGGGAACATTCCCACCCAGAAATGTTCCCCTGTGCCCCTCAGAGCCCTCCCCAGCAGCTCAGGGCCAGGAAGGTGTGTGAGATGTGCTGGTCCTGCGAGGGCATCACTGACACCACTGGGGAGCTGATGGTTTATCTCCTCCCCACGCCACTCCATTTGTGCTCTTCATCACTGCAGGGAAGCTACAGGGATCAGGTCTTTTCCAACACTGCAGTTACCAGAGAGGGGAGTCCCCAAAGAGATCCACAGAAATGGGATGTTTCTATCACTGCACAGTTGGGACTCGGGACAATTTTCTCAAATAACAGGATTGTAAGAAATTCTTGCTGAGTTTGTTCTCTGTGCAGTGACTGAAATCTGTCCAAAGGAAAGCTGAGTGTCCCTTGGGAGCACAGTTCCTGCCAGGGTGGAAGTGGGGCAGGCCAGGCACCTCTAAACTCGAGTTAAAATGAATGTTGAAGGTGCAGGAGTCTCACAGACCAGTAAATGGCTGAGTTTGTGTTACAAAGAATCACACAACCATGGCATGGTGTGGGTGGGAGGGACCTTAAAGCTCATCCCATTCCACCTCCTGCCATGGGCAGGGACACCTCCCACTATCCCAGGTTGCTCCAATCTGGCCTGGGACACTTCCAGGGATCCAGAGGCAGCCACAGCTCCTCTGAGCAACCTGTGCCAGGGCCTCACTGCCCTCACAGGGAAGAATTTCTCCCCAGTATCCAATCTAAGTATCAAAAGTGATGTCTCAAAGGACACCACACTGACCATGGCCAAGGACAGAGTGCACTGCTCTGGGAACAGAATTCCCCTTCTCTCCCGAGCTCAGCAGTGTCTCTGCTTAGGTACCACAACTCTGGAATGCCACAGCTCCACTGTTATTTCAAAGAGGTTTTAAACACATTTTTCCTTCTTTTCTCATCTTTTCCAGGGATTTGCTCTGTCCCACATCGTTAAGTTGAACAGAGAACTCCTCCTTGCAGCCTCTGACCTTGAGGTCCCAGAATTCTGAGCCTGCCTTTGCTTCCAAAGGCTGGACACCCTGCAGCTTCTCCCTGAAACAGCCCCTGGGCATTCCCCACACCCTGCCCAGCTGAGGGCCTGCCGGGGGTGGCGGGTGGAGGCTTTACCTTCCGACAGCCTCTCCTTCCAGCCCTGGGCAGCCGAGGTGAAGAACTCGTTGTTGAGCGCGGAGCCGCTGAGCTTCATCAGCCCGTCAGCCCCCACCTGCAACACAGCACAGCCAAGTCACCTGCTGGGGAGGGGACGGCCCTGAGACACGGCAGGAGCCCCCCAGTGCTGCCACAGACCCCTCGGGAACCTGCCTGGAACCCGCTGGGGGAAAAGCAGCAGCCTCGGTCTGGCTGTGCCAGGGCCAAGGCTGGATCCCTGAGGCTGTGGGAGCTCCTCCTCATCCTCATCTTCATCCTCATCCTCCCCTCAGCCCAGCCCTCCACAGGCCTGCTGCTTGCCCAGACAGCCGGGCAGCAACACACACCCGAACGAATCCCAGAGGGATTTCCCAACTGCTGTACCTCCTGCACTGAAGAAAAGGGTTGCTGCCATTGACATAAATACGGGATTTGGGCGTCTGGAACCACAGGGAGAACGTGGAATCCCAGACGGTTTGGGTTGGGAGGGACTTTAAACCCATCCAGTCCCACCCCCTGCCACGGGCAGGGACACCTCCCACCGTCCCAGGTTGCTCCAGCCTGGCCTTGGACACTCCCAGGGATGGGGGAGGGTCCCGGTGTGAGCCCCCCTGGCCCGTCCCCTCCGTACCGGCCTGTCCACCTCGGGCAGCAGGAGCAGCAGGCGCTGCTGGCACTCGGCGGGGAGCAGGGAGAAGGTGTGCTTGTTGATCAGCGCCCGCAGGTTCGTGTTCACCAGGATGGAGTCGGGCGTCTCCACGTCGATCTCGGCGCACTTGGCCCTCTTCAGCTGCCCTGCAACCGACCCCACACACATCACATCACATCACATCACATCCCCCCCCAAGGAGTCCCCAGAGCGTGGGAGTTCCAAAAAGCCCCGGCAGGATCCGTTCTGTGACTTCAAACACACGTTCAGCAGCCAAAAACAGAGCGTGGGAGGGTCCTTCCCAGCCAGAACATTCCACACCTGAGGCGCTCAGTGTCAGTCACCCTCACTTTTTGGGATCCCAGCTGGCTGGGGCTTGGCAAGAAGGGGTTTCTCAGGAGCCTTTCTAGAACTCCTTTTATCCACATCAGTTTTCTATTTTAAGCCTCCAGATAAGGTCAGTTTGATCCTCTGGATTTCTTCTTGGGCTTTCCTACTTTTGTTCACGGCAAAAGCATCCCAGAAAAATTCATCAGCTCGTTGTGCTTGTGTGGAAACCCCAACGCCAGACACACAGCAGGACCCCAAGGAGTCCTTGTTGTCCCTTTGCTTTGCTGTGTGAGAGCCACCACAGCTCTGGGGCTGTGCTGCTGGTTCAGGGGTGAGTGACACGGGAAGCATTTCATGGAATCATGGAATGTCCTGGGCTGGAAGGGACCCACAAGGACCATCCACACTTAAGATGTTTAATATCTCCCATTTTGCTGATAATGAAGTGTTGATCTGAGCTTCAGACCCTGTGGTGTGTGGCCAGTCAGGGTGGATGCATCCAAAGGAAAGGGAACACAGCAGGGATACCCCAGGGAAGGCTGGAGCTGTGCCAGGGAGGCTCAGGTGGGATCTCAGGGAAAGGTTCTTCCCCCAGAGGGTGGTTGGCACTGAACAGGCTGCCCAGGGAATGGGCACAGCCCCAAGGCTGCCAGAGCTCAGGGAGGGTTTGGATGATCCTCTGGGGCACAGGGGGGGATTGTTGGGGTGTCTGTGCAGGGCCAGGGGTTGGATGGATGATCCTTGGGAGTCCCTTCCAGTTCAGGGCATTCTGTGATTCTGTAGGAACATCAACACCACCCCTGGTAAATGCAAAAAGAACCACCAAGGGCAGGAGGGCTGAGAAAGCCCAGGCCCCAGTGAGGGGCTGGGAGCCAAACCACAGCGGGGTCTGAAGGGTGAGGATCTGGGAAGGGATTTCTTTTTCCTTGTTAATGTTATCAGAGTGTGTAGGAACATTAAAAAGGTTGATAAATAGTGCAGGCCCTTTCTGTGCTCTCAAACAGCTGCAAATTCCCAGGAGAAAGCCCTGATGAGAAGGACTCAGAAAAGATGATCTGCATATGGAAGGCTGAATTATTTATCCTAATTCCCACAGCAGACCGGCAGCACCTCCCAGGGCTCTCCTGAAGTCCCCCCAGCAATGGGATTAACACTCTTTCAGGCTTTTGTTCTGGCCCTGGAGCAGCCAAAGCTGTGTGAGCAGGGCAAGAGGCTCTTACTTGCGTGGAGCCTGTCGGATCTCTGGAACGGCTTCTTCCCCAGCCCTGGCAGGGAGTTCTCGAGCTTCACAGAGAGAGAGGAGCTGGAGGTGGAGTTCTGGGGGCTGCTGGACTGCCCATCTGCCTGCTTCCCTTCCCAACCTGGCCGGAAAGGAGACGTTGGAACACAGGCATGGATGGAGAGAGGCTGTGTCTGGATGGAACAGAGGTTCTCGAACACAAACCCCAGCCCTGGGCTCAGGGACAGGCACTCCCAGGACACGGACACCCCTTTGTTCCTACAGCACTTACTGCCCAGCAGAGACCCCTTTGGAACCATCAGACTATCCCAAAATAAAGGGATGGGCAGCCACGTCATGTGCGGTTTGAGCCTATTTCCCAGTTAGTCCCCATTTATTTCCCACCTGGAAGAGTGGAAATCCAACCCAGGAACGCCCTGTTAACACTTCCAGAGTTAACAGAGTCCCTGTTGGAGTTCACCATCAGGAAAAAATCTCTTCACACTTTATGTATCCTTTCTAAACTTCACAGCTGTTCCCTCAGCCCACCCCTGGGAATTCCTGTTCCCTCCCCTTTCCAGTACCCAGGAGACAGTTCCACGTCCTCCTTCCAAGTCACCACTTGGCCAAACCAGACAGATCCCACCCCTGTGATTCTCCTCACACATCCCCGCCACCCACGCTCTCCTCTGGGCAGCAGAATTCCCGCTGCTGCTGCTGCTGCTGCTGGGAGAGCTTCTCCCCCAGATCCTCCTGCCTTCCTGTCCCTCCTCCCCCTAAGGGAGAGGAATCAACCTGAGCTGCTCTTCCCTCTGCCCTCTTTAGTTTAGGTGAGCACCAGGCACTCCCTCCAGTATGGAAAGGTGCTGAAGTCCCCGATTTTGGAAGAGAAACTGCACATGACACACGAGAGGAGCTGTGGGGGAGGGCACTGACTGAGCCCAGGGAGAGGCTCTGCCCAGGCAAGGGCACAGCGGGACCTATCCAAGATCCATCCCCACCAAAACCACAGCCAGGGAAGCAGGAGCTGGGCTATGCCAGGACCAGGAGAACACCAGATCAAAGAGCATTGCCCTGAGGGTGCCCCAGCAGGACAGGGAGCAGACACACTGGCCGTGTCCCCAGCACGTACCTGACTTGCCCGGAGCACAGTCCCCGGCTGCCTTGACGGCCTTGAGCAGGACGTGCTGGTTAGAGGACACGGGCATGCCCGCCCGGCATTGCTGCTGCTGCTGCTGCTGCTGCTTCTGCTGCTGCTGCTTCAGGGCCTGGGGAACAGCGGGGACAGGCAGTCAGCTCTGCCCTCAGCAAGGGTTAAAGCACAGCACGAACTGCTGGACTCTCGTCCTGCTCCGGCAGGAGTTCAGCGCACCCCCTGACCCACCAGTCCCCGGGACACCCATGCTGTGTGCTCAGTGGGATGCAGGTGACAGTGGGATGAAACATGAGGAAAGAGGAGATTTCCTCCCTTTGCATCTACAGCTAAAAGTTAATGGCCACAGAGCATCCACAGTTGTGCTACTGCATGAGAAAAGGATCCCCAGAGAGAGGGGACTCCCAATCTGGGGTTGGTTCACGAAGTAATCACACAAAATAACTTCAAAGTGGAAGTACCACCATGTAATTCATTCCCTCTCCCCGGGGAGAAGCAAGCAGCAACTTCCTAAAAGCCTTCAACAGAGATACTGCCCATCAGGGAAAGGGTTTTTAATTAGGAAAGTAACAGAGATTCAAACACGAAAGAAAAGAAAAGAAACCCCTTTGTTTCAGAACAGACTCATTCCAGCAGCAGCCAGGACACAGCCCCAAAAGGCACCGTGGCTGAGCCAAGGAAGGAAGAAGGGGTTTGGTTAAACTGCAAACCAAAGTGTCTGTGTGCAAAAGCTGAAATCCAAACCCAACCGACCTCACGAGCAGAATAAATCACAACAGCCCCTGGAATTTCAGAACAGGCAGTAAGAGGATGTGCTGAGCTGCACAGACACAAATGAGTGGGACTGTTCACTGGAGATCATCACTGTCTCAAACAGTAACACCAACAACAAGGATGGTAGCAACACACTTAAAACTAGGGGAGGGAATAAAACTGTGCAGGAATCTGCAGGATCTGCCTCCTGAGGAAAGCAGAAGTGGCTCAGAGCTTAAAGACACAAACGAGCAGTGACAGCAGAAGGATCTACATATCAGAGACACCTCGGATCCTATTTTCCCATTTATTAAATAGTTCCTATTTAGCCACTTCCACCACAGGTTAGAAA